GGGCAGAGGGGGCCGGCGCGCCTGCTCGTCTGGAGGGCTGCCGATGTGGGCTCTCGCTCTGCGGCTTGAGGCTTGCTGCGAGCCGTGACATGCCGACTCTAAAGCGATTTCGGCAAGATTGGCGTGGTTGGCAGCGGCTAGGTCAGCCAGGTTGTGGAATGGGCCTGGGGCTTGAGGGGCAGGACGCGAGTGGCTGCGAACATTCCGGCGGCTGCCACAGGCCACGGGCGGCGTGCGGGCCGGCAGCTGCGAGCGCGGCGCGCGGCGACGCCGCGGCTGCGGGCTCCTGCGGCGCGGGGCAGTGGCAGGGGCCCTGGGGCCGCGTGTCCCTTGCGCCCTTGGCAGCCGCCCTGCTGCCACCACCTTGCCAGGCGCGCGGCTCCCCTGCTCCTCGCCCGGCCCTGCCTTCGCGGACGCTCCCGCCCGCCGCCCCTTTGCCACCCGCGCGTGCGCCCCAGGCGTTCATCAACACGGCGCGGGAGATCTACAAGAAGATCCAGGACGGCGTGTTTGACGTTTCGAACGAGGTGCGGCGCGCGGGGCAGTCCCAGGCCGCCACGGCACTCCGCGGGCCGAGCCAACGCTGTCCCTCGCAGCGGTGGGCGGCGGTGCGGCGCAGGGCGGGCCAGGGCAGGGCGGCCCTGATCGGCTGCTGCGCCCCCTGCCTGCACTTCCCCACGCCTCAACGCTGCCCGCTGCCCACCCGTCATGACCCCCTGGCATTACGCCCCTCGGTCCCCTCAGACGCACACAAACGCCCACCACCACTGCCTTGCGTCCCCTCTTCACGCTCCCCAGTCCTACGGAATCAAGGTTGGGTACGGCGCCGGCGGCCCCAACCCCGCGACTATCAAACCCGGGGAAGGCCAGCCGGCAAAGGCCTCCAGCAGCTGCTGCTGATGTGGCGGCTGCGGCGTCTCATGGCCCTTCCTTGCGCTGACGTGTGCATGACACCCCCACCCGCAGTCCTTACGTCTTACGCGTCTCTCTTTCCGCTTTTGGGGCGGCGTGCTGCGCTGCAGGGGGCGGCCGCCCCTGCATTCAGTGTGCCCTGCCCCGGCCTGCACCGCGCGGCGCTCTGCAGCCCTGCACCCCTTGAGTCTGCGGCTTCCCCGGGCAGGGGGTGACGCTGCCCCCTTGGCGGCCCCCTGTTGTTTGAGCGTGGCGCGTCTTTGTTCTGGGAGCTGCCTCCCCCTCCTTAGCCCCTCTCACCCCCAAGCGGCAGTTGGAAGGAGGAGGCGCGTGTACAAAACCCCCCCAACGCCGCGCCGCAGCACGGCCCCTGACGGCCCTGGCGGCGTCGCCCCATGCCGCCGCCCCTGGATTGCGCCCTCTCCTCCTGTTTGCGGCCGCCCCGCGGTTTCCAGGCGCGCGTCATGCCGCCGCCTTGTTTTGCTTCGAGTTCGCCGGCGCAAGGGCCGAACTGCCGTCACATGTAACGTTGCGGCGCGCTGCAGCGCTTGACAAATGCACGCAATATTCTAGCCCCTTTTGCACAGCTTTGAACTGCACATGATTGTTTTGTTATGCATGCATACGTGCATGCGAATATCCTGCCACGTGTGGTGCGGCCCGCCAGTGCAAGGGTCTCTCAGTCCTGCCCTCAAGCGCTTCATATAAAAGTGCCGCAGTGCGCTCAAATGCTAGCTGTGCACTGCGCCCCCACCACCCAATCCTTGCATGGTAGGACACGCCCAGATGCCAGCAAAGCGCCAGTGGGTGGCGCTGTTGAGCACCACCCACTGCACCAAAGCAACAGCGCTTCGCGCAACCGCTTGCGCATGTGTATGTGCACCACGGCCATGTGAGGCTTCCGCAGCAATATAATAGCCTGCAGGAAAAGGCGCCGCACAAAGAAACGCGGACTGGTCAACCACAACAGCAGAAAAACCACCTTGCATAAAGGCGAGCGAAGCGATGCACACAACAAAGCCAGAGGCCACCTGAGGCGCACGCACCTGCCTTGCAGCGAAGCTCGCATGCGAAGCTGCCCTTTGCAGAGTCTGCTTACTGCCGGCATCAACATTGACGTCCCGCGCCTGTGAAATGCTGGCGAACATTGTAGAAAAGTATAACTCTGACAAATCGATGAACCCCAAAGCGGAACAAACCCACCCCGACGACCGGTTCCGAAGCCCAAGTGACCACGACCGCTCAATTGAGCAACACGAGCAGCAGGCCAAACACACCCAGTACCTGCCACAGACATGTGACCTGCTGCTCAGAAATTTGACCTATTTCTTATCCTGCCATCCAACCCGCCGCACACCCCGCGCCACTCCCCACCTCGGCCACCAGCACGAGAGTTACAGGTCCTATGACTCCCCCCAAGGCGCACGCCTAGAGCGCGCAGCCCAGACCGCCGAACCCCTCGCAGACCCTGCCCGGCGCACTAAAAATGCCCCGACAACCTGTTTTGCGCCCCCCATCGGCCCCCGCGCGCCCCTCCCCGCCGGCGCTAACTCTCGACGCCCCCATGTTCCTGAAACTGCTGTTACCTAGGTTACTTGTGTTGCGGTGTAGGTAACGCCACGTTGCCATAGGCTGTAACGTGTCCACTAAAATTACCCTGTGACTGGCCGCGCGTTACGGCGTTACCACGGCGGCGGCAACACCACCTTTCGTACTGCAGTAACACACACCCTGTGGTAACGGAGTGCGTGGCAAGAATGCTGGGTGCGAGGCGGATCGCACGCTGGATGTAAGCGGCGGTCAACTCGTCAGGCTACTGCTTGATCCCCAAGAACTCCTCCAAAGCGCGATGGGGGTCAGGGGTCAGCAGGGCCTGCAGCAGCATCAACTCCTTCCGCACCACAGCCGCTCCTGGGGTCAGGGCTTGCCCCAGCTGGTTGCGGCGCAGCAGCGCCGGCGCTGGCTGCGCACTGCGCTGCTGCGCCTACCTCCAGGTCAGGCGCGCGGCTGGGCCAAAAGCAGGGCAAGCATGGGCGAAGGGGCACTTGCCCCGTGGCAGCTTCCGCTGCCAAGGGGCCGTGGGCGGCAACGGGGCAAGGGCCCCCATTGTGCGTGACATGCTGCAGGCCAGGCCACGGGAGTTGCATCGTGCGCACAACCCACCCTGCGGCTTCGGCGTGCTGTTCACTATTACATTATGCTGCTTGCCGCACACTTGCCGTTACACACCTGTGAGACCGTGACGGCCGATTACGTCTCCAATGTAGTTTAGGTATACTTCTATTGATCGTATGCACTTGCAACTTATCACCCTAGTGCTGCTCCCGTCCACCCTGCCCAGTCACGTGTTAGAGATTGTGGGTGAGATTGGCTGGTCGCCCGATTGCTGTCGAGCACCCGATTGGCGAAGTCAACGGGTCGGGAGTGCAACCTTAAAAGGTGTACGTTGCGTCGGTCGTGTTAAAATACGCGGCTACGTCGCAGTCACATTCGTCCGGCCACGTTCAGCACCATACCCTTTCCTGTCGTAGGACCTACCCCATTCAAGACGTCCACTCGTTCAACGCGCCATTGTAGACGAGGTGAGACCAATGGCGGGGCCCCAGCACGCACTCAAGGGGCTGAGTTGACGGCAAGGTTCCCAGGGACGGCCAGTGTGAGCCACTCTGTTACCCATGCAGCGGCTCCAGTCCGCTCCGGCCTGGCATTGTCGCTGCCCCTTGGACTTGTTGAAGGTCCCACACATTCATTACCAGGAGGCAACTTTGGCAGCCATCGCATTCCTGGCGAATGGCGGCCTGAGACACCGCTGACCGTTGTGTGGTTTGGCCCTGCTGCACGTCGCATCTTGAGGCCCTGCTAGCTAGCTGGCATAGGATGCGCCATGTCTGAGTCACCCTTGTCATCCAAACAAACACTGTGCAACTCACAGGGCCTGGCGTCCTTGTCCCTCCTCTTAGAGCCTGACAACCTCTGGCCAAGCAACCAAATCTAAGGCGCCTGTGACGTGAGGCCCATGTGCGCTGCCAGCCGCATGCACGCATAGCAGGGGACAGGTTGCTGCGGCTTTTCTGCACAAGCAATGCTGCTGGGTTGCTGACACCCACCAAGTTTCTTGGTTGTGTCGCTGGTGATGTGCATAAAAGTTGCATGCAGCGCAACGGCTGCTGGTGTGCGCACATGTGGAATGTATGCAAGCAAACCAACGTGCAAACCAACTCCTTGTCCTCGCGCGCTGTCCGCAGGACTTTCAGTATGACGAAGTGCTACACATTTTTGGCTATGGCGACTATCATGCTGGGCGTCTGGCTCGTGCCAAGTAGCGCCCGCGGCACTCTTCCGGATGTACACGCTGCGCCGATGAGTGTTCCACCCACCCCTTACGGAGAGTACGGTGCCAAGCGCAGGCTGCTGGGGTTTTGTTGCGACGACGATTCTGACGAATGCGATGAATATTCTTGCTCTCCTGGCTACTTTCTGATGTGTGACCCACCTGAATGCAAAAAAATACCTAGCAAGCGCCCGAGTGGGGGTGCGCCCAAGAAAGTCCCCACTTTTATTCAAAAAGTTTTTAACAGTTTCAAGAGAGGGTAATTCTGGGGAGACTGTTCTTGCTTTGATGTATACTGTGATCATACTGTGACACAGCACACACAGCAATGATCTATTTGCGCACACAGTGTTGTGGGCGTCTTGCGAGGTTAACATCTGGCACTCCCACGTTGAGGCAGCATGCAGCATGTTCTGGTAACAAATCTGAGCGTGGCTGAGCAAAAGTCTGGCAGCTCTCTCACCCCCCCAGATTGAAATGGCAAAAAAGCAAGGCTGTTTCCGCCTGCCTCGCTCGAAGTGGTACCCACTCGCCTTGACGCTGCCATGCACAACAGTTCACCGCACAACCACCACCACAACCAAAAAGTGTGAAGGCAAAGCAGAGAAAGCAGCCAGTACGACCGATGGCTTGGTTATTACAATGGATGTGGAGTTGACGCTATGCTTCTGACATATAAAGAGAGACAGGTGGGTCAAACTCATGATGGCGGGACATCCAGCGCTGCAAGACCCCCCACGCTCTGCAGCGACCCGTCCCCTTGGACCCCGAGCCTGCGTGAATGAGCCCGGCAAAGCATGCAGCGGCGCGTCCTGCCAATGAGGACGTACGGGGAGGGGGGTGGGGGACTGGCCGCTTGCACAAACACACTGACACACCCACACACGCACAGGCAGAACTTGCCTGTTGCCTTGCAAGAAGAGAAGGCGTGGCGTGTCGAAGCACATTCGTTTGCATCCGGCATTCCTGCTTTCTTCCAAACCCAACCTGATCAGAAAGAAGGAAACCAAAACCCCTTCACCAAGCACCACATGCCATGCGGCTGAGCAGGAACAGAACACGCCCCCACCAAGGGCGCAGCACACTGGTCAGAGCAGATTCGGACGGCGGCGCATGGCTGCGAGAGAAAGACCCGTGGCTGAATGCGTTGGGTTCATTTGCTCTACTTCTTTGGAATGGCAACCGAAGTAGATAAGAGTCGCGCCTGGCCTGGCGCGAGCTGGTGCGCTGTCAGAGTGCCGCGCCGGGTGCACCACAGGCTGGAGCTTGCGCATTGCGCCGCATCGCACAAGGCCTTGTGAACAAAAGGGACAACACGTTTCTAAAATCAATTGTAAACAGGGCACCAGGCTGGCCGCAAACACATGGTCGCCACGAGCCACTCGAGCAGCTCTCCTCCTGAGGCGGCGCTCTTGCGGCAGCCACCAGGATTGTTTGCCGCAATTGCATACACAAAAAAAGTGCCAGGACCCGGTGCCCTTGCTTGGCCCGCCGCTCGCCTGATGGAGCGGCCGGGACTAAAGCAGACAGCGGGCGCAACAGTGTGGCGCGGGCTTGCGCGTGCCATGGCCTCAGATTGCTGTGGGGCGCGTTCCAGCACCCGACTGACCGAGGCCAAGGCGGCGGCCGCAGCCTTGCGCATCGCTGCCGCAGGGGCTGCTGCCTTACTGCGAACCGCGCGTGCTCGAGACGCCGCTGGTGCAGCTGGGGCGCCAAGGGAGATGGTTGGGATGCTCTCCTGGCTTAGCCGACGCGCCGGAGCCGCGAAAGAAGGTGCGCAGTCGGGGCGGCCTGCAATGTCACCCGGCGTGGGACCTGCTTAAGACTCCCCGATGGTCGAGAGGGCCGCTGTGAGCGAGCTGTGCGGCTGCGCCGCCCTCTGCTGCTCCTGCTGCGCCGCCCGCTGCTCGAAATGCAGCATGCCGCCGCCGCCCGCGGGCAGCGAGTGCGCGACCCCACCCACGGAGTTGCCGTCGCCGCCGCCGTCCGCGCCGCCCGACTCCTTGGGTTCAAGGAACCCGGTGCTGCGGAGCACCGCATTGCGGGTGCGCAGCCGCTCGCGCTTCAAGCACCCGCTCGGCGACGCGCCGTTGAAGCTGAACGTGAAGTCGTCCTGCCGCGTCAGCTGGTGGGGCGGCACGAACTTGGCCCCGGCTGCCGCCCCAGCCCCGGCGGCGCCGACCGCGCCGGGGTCGGCGGGGGTGGCGGCTGGGGATTCGATGGGCTTCCAACGGGGGATGGCAATGGGGACAGACGAGCCCTGCGAGCGGCACGCAAGCGGAGTGTGCAGTGCAGGGCAGTGCAGGACGAGGGGTTTTGGGCTGGTCTGCGGCCACTCAGGCGGAAGCGGTGGTGCGAGTTGGGGCCGATGGCCTGACCTCAGACGAGCCTGCTGCTGAGATCCGTGCCAACGCCTCGCCCCCACAGCTCCCGCGCACCATTTGCACCGCCGATGTGCGCGCCGGCAGGCTCGCCGCGACATGGAAGCCGCCCGGCCGCGGAGGGCGCTCGGCGGCCGCCCCCAAGAGCAGGCCGGCATCGGCGTCGCCGTGAAGCTCGTGGAGGCTGGCCCGCAATGTGCTGCTTTGAATGCTCCCGCTCCTAATTGACGTACCTGCACATGCAGCAGGTGGGAGTGTGTGCTTGGGGGAAGATGATACTGGCTGCAGCGCCCAGGGCAGGGCTGAGGTGCTGTCGAGCACATGCACAGCGCCATGGCGCGTGCTGCGGGCATGACAATCAGGGCGCGACACAGCGACCGATGGCGAATCGCCCAGCGACCAGTCCTATGCGCAGCCTTTACATTCAAGATGAGCAAGCGTAAAACGGACCTGCTATATCTACACCGTTATGCGCTGGCTCGGCTGCAGCTGGGGCCTCAGCGTGCTCGTCATCGCTGTGCTCGCTACCCGGCCAGCGGCCCTCGTCGGCCTCCTCAAAGAAAAGGGCGTCCTCCAGCTCCATGCGGCCGATCAGAAGTTGCCGATCGTCCCGTGCGACCGACACACCTCGGCCGCCCCGGGGACCACGCCCTCTTAGATTCTGCAAAAGACCGTGTGACCACTAAAATAAGGTATGTGTGTCACGCGGCAGGCTCAGAAGAAGCCTGCGTGGCACAGACGGCTACTTCGATCGAGTTCAAAAGGACGATTCCTGGAGAACTGTTATATGCAAGCACGATAGGCGCGTGAGGTGCGACTGCCAGAAACGTGGACGCACACTGCTGTTGATTGATGTTCCGCACAAAATGAAAATAGCTCTGCCTTCCGTTCGAGTGGGGTACCGTATGAGCGCACGAGAGCCGGGTGCACGTGACAGCTAGACTGGTTCCTACACCGGCGTGTTTACCAGGCAGGGCGCCTTGTACCGCGACTTGCGGGGTGCGAGAGACGTGGGCATGTCAATCTGCTGCACCTCGTGCGTTCCGGGATGGTGTGCACTGCGGCATGCGTGCTGCACAGCGACAGAGCTGCTGTTCACTTCAAATATTACACGTCTTGCGCTGTTGACCCTCAGGCACCTGGGCCGTCAAAAATTTGCAAGCAACCAAAACCCGCCACTGCCACCTCGACACTCAACAACTCACAATTGTCGAAGAAATGTATCCATCAGCGATGCAAAGCACTCCGTACCAAGCGGAACACATATTGGAAATTTATGGATATCTCAGGAAGGTATTCATCGGTACCTGCAGGTGGCGATGGGTCGCAGGGTTTGCACAGTAACAGGTGATGTCATCAACGTTCTGGTGCATGGGCCCGTGTTGCAGCAGAGCGCCAGGCTTCGGAAGTATAAATGGTTACTTTGAACTCTGCTTGTTCCAGGTACCCATTGGCACTGCGCAGCAAGCCCTGGTGCTGTCCCGCACTGCGGGAAACCAAGGCTCTTGCCGCCTCAAAGATCCGCTACAAGTTCTCCTAGTGAGCTGCACACGCCCATCACAATCGCACCAGGCAGCAAAAGCGCTAGCCAATGACTTGGCTCACCCTTGGTTCAACACTGACCAAACACAGCATGCATGCATACACACATACCCCCACACATACTCGCACACACGCTCGCACATATTCACACTTGCGCTCACATACGCACATACATGCGTTCACAAATGCACACAAAGACAGGTCCCACGAAAGACATGCATGCCTGCAAATCCCGGGTCATCATCTCACTTGTCCATGATCTTGCGTGCCTCGCCAAGCGGGTCTGACGGGTCCGATGTGCCGCCACCGCCACCGCTGCTGCTTCCGCTATCGTCGCTGCCAGACTGGGACCGGAAGTACAGCCAGGCGGCGCCTCCTAGCAGGGCCACAGTCAGCAGAGTGGACAGCACCTGTAAATGCGTGGCGTGCCAAAAAGCGCCGTGATGCTCGCGGATGATACGCATGGATGTTGGGGTAGCAGGGCGATCTGATGGCGATCGCCTCAGCTTTGGAGCACGCGCTGCTGCTCAATTCGCCGGCCATCCAGGCCTCAGCGGCCGCCAGGGGCTCGGTGACAACTAACACAAGTGCATCCGACCCTACTTATGCCCCTGCGAAGGACCGGCGCTGCAGGGTCCAGGTGGCACTGACCTTCTGGAGCAGCCAGAACGCCAGCAGACCCCCAGCCACCGCCACGCCACCCTTGGCCACCGGTCGCGGCACGCTCTCCGGCACCAGCTCGGATGCGCTGTCCACCAGCCCCTTGCCAACGCTGATTGCACTGTCCAGCGCTTCATTGCCGGTCGACTTGGCCGGCTTCCCAGCAAGTGCGACCATCCGCGCGCCCAGCCGACGCCCCGCCATCGCAACCGGAGCAGGAGTGGCAAGCCGGCTGCGAAGGAGCGCGCATGGGATGAGGCAAGGCTGCCACTTACAGCGCGTGTGCGTCGGGCCCGACGCAAACCAGAAGCATGGGACAAGGGGCCAGGTAGCGATGGTTCGGTGCTGCATGGGCAGAGCAAGGCGTCACGGTGCGGGATCAGATGCGGCGCGCACCTGGCGGCCAGGCACGGGCTCACGCAGCTCCCAAAGCCTACGCGGTTCATCCTGCAAGCTTGAACCTGCGTCAGAGAGGAGTTGTGGCCTTGCGAACACACACATCACCACTGGAGTGTTCAACAGCACAGCTCATACCTGCATGATTGCTGTCAAACTATGATTGTCCCTTGATGGCCTCAATCGGCTCCTGTACGTGCTCGTGTGCAATAGATCGGCCCTTGGCAACGAACTGTCGCGGTTCAATGAAGGGGTATTGTGTGGCTTCAGTAAAAATATTCACAGCGTCTGTTGGAGGGAGCACAAATCAGGCGCAGGTGCCAACCACCAGACCGCCTGTTGGGTGCCCCATCAGTGCTCATTTCAGGCACTGCACACGCCACTCGTGCACGCACAAGGCTTCGCTTGCGAGGAATCACAATACCCCTTCACAAGAGTGCACTGGGCGTCGCTGCTGAAGCCGCATCTGCCACCTTCACCATTCCCCCTGGCCTGCCAATCCCCCCCCCCCCTTGAGGCCAGCTGACCAAAGCGGCCAGGCCTCGCAAAGACGAGGTTCTTACACCATGTACAAGACACAAAAAATGACATCACAGCCCACGTCGCGAGCACGCACTACACGTATAAAAACATGGGTCGCCCCCAACACACACCGCAAGTGGCGTCGCCGAATAGTGTCGGCAAAGCAAGATCTGAAGGCACCACCCTGGCAGGCGCAAAGCTGCCGGCGCATCAGGTAGCAGGTTGGGTCAGTAGAAGGGGCAATCAAATCGGCGACGGTCGTGCGAAGCAGCCGCGGGCGGCAGTGAGGCAGCGAACGCCGCTGCACCCCCTTCGGAGTCGCACCGCCGGCCAGTGAGGCCTCACCCCCTCACACGCCATGTGCCCGCCGCGTGTGGGCTCTGCGGCTTCCACCTGCCCGCGGGGCACGCACGAAAGTTGACAGCATGCCGCCAGCGCCACGCAGCTGGTCAAATGAAAGGGAGAACGGGGACCATCCAGGCCGCGAGCAGCTACCCGGGGATCAAACGCTGCCCGACGTCCCAGCTGCCTCGGCCTGTTGGCCGGGCCGCTGCTGCGCCTGGCGCTGCTGCTGCTGCTGCTGCTGCTGCTCCTGCTGCTGCGGCGGAGGTGTGTGCTGCTGCTCTTGGCTTCCCGCAGCCATGTCCTCTTCATCGCCCTGCCCGCCACCACCGCCCGCTCCGCCGCCTCCGCCGGCGCCGCCGCCGCCCGCCCTCGCGCCCCCGCCTCCACCCGTGGCGTTGGCACCGCTGCCGCTGGGGCCGCCACCCCCGCGCGCCTGTTGCGCGGCCCCGTCTGCCGCGCCGGCGCCGCCACCTGCCCCCGCACCGCCGTTGCCTGCTCGCGCGCCAGCCGCGATTTGCCGCACGCCGGGGCCGCGCTCGCCGGAGCCGCCGTTGTTGTAGGCAGACGGGTGCAGCTTGAAGCCGAACACCCTGCGGCAATGGGTGCAGCAAGGCAGGGCGACAGGCGAGCAGCAGGCAGGAGTCAGTTCGCCACATCGCACTGGACACCCAAACCCCTGTACACAGTCCTGCGGCCGCCCCCGATCCGCACCCGCGCTTCGCCTCTGCGTGTTGGCAGGCGCGTTCCTGCACCCGTCGCATGCACGCACGCACACGCACGTGTGCATGACTGAGCGCTTGCCCGCACGCACACCTGGGGGTGTAAGCGTCCGCGCTGCGCGGGGGCCGATACATAGGGTACGTCATCAACAGCAGGTGGGGGAAGGTGCTGCCGAAGAATGCGCCGTCGATCGAGCACTGCGCAGGCGCCGGCCGCGGAGGATGGCAGGGGGAGGGGCGGCAGGGGTGTGAGCTGCGATGGCATGTGATTGAACGCGGGCCGGCACGACAGGCCTGCACTCACAACCCGTGCAGATCCCTTGAGGGCTTACATAACACATATGGCCTAATGCCAACCGCAGCAGTAACCCCACCTACCCACCCAAAACATGCCCGCACGCACGACGTTCACCGCACGCACCGGCCACAGCCGCGCCGCCCCCCGGCCCAGCCACGCTCACCTGGTAGTCTATCCGTGGATAGTAGATGTCCTCGCACTTTGGGCAGAAGATCTTGACGGTCGCCTGGCCTGGCAGGTCGCTCGTGCCAACGGCAAGGCACGGCTGCCCCTCGCACAGCACGCTGCGGTGTGGTGGGCAGAGAAGGGGGTCAGGGGCTCGTCAGCGCCGGCGCAGCAACCGCAGTGGAGGCTTCGCCTGTGCGTTCGGGCAGCTCAGGAGCGCGGCAGCCATGCAGGTGTGCGCCGCACGCGGCGCATTGCGGCACATCAGGATCAGATCCGCCCAAGCTCACCGAGGGCACCGCCCGAAGTCGACGTTTTTGAACTTCTCCAGCATCGCCCCCAGGCCGCGCGCGGTGACGATGTAGCGGGCGTGGATGAGGCCATACAGCATCTCGGCCGCGTTCTCAAGAAGCTCCTGGGGGTTGGCGGCGCGGAGGGTCGCGGGGTTTGTGGGGATTGCAGCCTTGGGGGGTTGGGGAGGTGCTGGATCTGGCTTTCAATGAAGCGCCAAGGCTGGGTTCACACCTGCTCCCTAGCCAGCCCGACTATCGACTGAGCAGCTTTGCGACCTGCTGCTGTGGATACGTCCTGCTCAAGCAAACACCCACAGCTGAGACGCACATGCACACCCGCACAGTCATGCACACGCAGGCGCACACACATCTTCGACCGTGCACGTATGCGTGCTGCTCACTACTTCAGGCGTACTGGTGTGTGCCTGCCCCACCCCCAACCCCGCACCCCACCTGCTGTGACTCTGTGAGCATCATGTCCTGCGGCGGCTCATTGTCCAGGATCATGTCCAGCGCGTACTCGTAGTAAGGCACCTGCAGGGCGTCAGCCGTTGCAACGGGAGTGGTGGGAGTGCACGAATCGACGGCAGTTGCAACCGCCAAGCTGTTCTCCAGGGCTGTCGCCACGAGGAAAGCTCTTGGCCTGACCCCACTGGGGGGCACGTAGGGCAAGCGACTCCCAGGCTCGCACACACAGGTGAGGTAACCTTCGCCGCTGCGCGTGCGCCACCGGGTGGCACCCACCAGCCCTGAGAGGCCGCTGAGGTTGAAGTCGTCCTCTATGTAGTCCTCGTCAACCTGTTGAATGCGGCGCGATGGGGGAGGGGGGGGCGAGATGAGCATGGCCGTGGGTGGGCGTTGAATCGAAAGGGTGGCAGCTCAAGGGGGAGGTGCAGGCGCCGAACCGACAGCCTGGGGTCCGCTGCGCCCGGTGGGAGACACAGCAGCCGCAGCAGTTGTGGGCTTTGGCTGCGACCGCTGCCACAGGCTGGCAGCTTGCCTCGCCTGGCTGCGTCACTCTCATCTGCCCACGCGCTGCCTGCACGCCGCACTCACCACAGCCGTTTCAACACCAGCTGCTGCGCGATTTGCAGCAACCCTGAAAATGCGACTGCTGCTCAAACCCAAGCCTGTTCCACCTCACACCCCTGTGTGCAGACCCACACGCACACACATGCGCGCGCGCGCTCAATCGTGTGCGTCTGCGCCAGGCGTCGCCCCACCTCGCAGAAAAACTCATTTCCCCTCAGGCCGCAGAACCAGGAGATCCAGGAGGGGTCTCCTTGCTCGCTGCCCGTCATGTCCTCGCTGTCCTCCGTGTCGGAGTCCGACACCAGGTCTACCGCCTCAGTCTGGAGGGGGTGGGCGCGTGCGGGGGAGCGTCGCGCGCGCGTGGGTTCCGGGCAGGCGGTTGCGGTGGGTTGGGGGGACGACTGGATGGGAGAGGGTGCGCGCCGCAGGTCTTGCTGCCCCGTCTGCTGCGCGACGGCCGGGCTGCAACGCCAGTTCTATGGCGGCTGTGAGGCGTTGGTCTGTGCGAGGACGGCCGCATGGCTGCACCAGCGCCCTCCATCGCAATCGCAGGCACCACCCCGACACATGGCTTGCAGCAGGGGCCCCGCACCTGTGCTCGGTTCTGCATCGGGGCGCGCAGACCATTCTCTGCGGAGGTACGAGGTGCAACTTGCTGGCCACTAGCCATTCGCAGAGCTGGGAGGCGACGCTGCTGTGGCGCGGCGCCGGAGACGCCGGCCGTGCCTCCCCGGGCCGCCCGCTACGCTGCTCTGGCGGGGGCGCTGCGCGTGCACTGTCTGGCGAGCTACGGCGACGGCAGTAACCTCAACCTGCTGTCAAAAGCACGTTGGCGTGTACAATCAGCTTGTTTGCGAGGCCACCGCGCGGGTTGAAGCCCGCGTGCTCAGCTCGGAGACCAACCACGCCATGCAGCACGTGTGCTTAAAACAGTTGCAGGTTCTATTCAGATCATAGTCGAGCCAGGGCGCAAAGAGGGCGTGACGAGCGGGGAACCCGAACTTGTCACCCTCGTCATGCAGGCCGCGTCGGACCACTAACCGAAGTCAGGCAGGAGCTATCTTCGCCTTTGCGTGTTATGAGCTCAGCTGGCCTCCAGATCACTTAGCCGTGCTATCGTGTAGGGGAGCCTTTGGCTATACCGAAGTGTTCAGGCAAAAACGTAGACTTCAAAGCAGCGGTTTAGCCCGGTATGAACGAGAACTACCTGCCGTGCTTGACTGGTCCGCGGCCCCGCCGCATGCCAGCCGACCACCTGGCGATATTGACGCCGGCGAGGATGTGGCTGGATCGCCGCTGTCATGTGCTAGCGGCACAAGTTGATTTTATGCTGCATGCAACATGCCGACCTGACCCTCGCACGCCCTGCCACCGCCGCTACCTCTC